GAGCCCACTCACCCCAAGACCTTCTACACCTCCGATGACACGGAGTATCTCCACTTGTTTGGGCCCTTTGCACAGGTGGGATGTTTACGTGCAGTGGGCTGAGGCTGCTGGGTAGACACCTTGACTGTGGGTCTAGATGTGAAGAGTGGTAGTTGCAGAGAGTGAGCCCTGAGCCCAGCACTGACCAGGATGCCCACATGTCCAGTAGCAGAGTCTGTGGTGTCTAGACCTTTCTCATGGCCCCACAGCTGAATACTTTGAGGGTTCCCCTTGTGCTACAGAGGTCCCCCAGCCCTACCAGGTGTAACACATTTCCTACCACTTCTGGTCCTCATTATTCAACTGGATCCTGGTTTAAGTAGAGGAGGGGCTTGGGCAGCCATCAAAAAGTAGAGTATTTGCGTGGAAACCTCTCACTTTCAGGAGGGGTCATATAAGAGTGCTGGGTGGGCTCGGATCTGGTTTGGGGTCAAGAATAGGACCTGGGGGGCATCACCCCCATGACCCAGGCTCCCCTCCTCTTCACCATGCTTGCTCTCTGCCCAAGAGCTGCCTACAAGGAATTCTGGGAGATGACACTTACCTCCTCCTTGAGAACAGGCACAGCTATTGTTCATTGCACAATCATTTAGGGACATTATAAAAGTCTATACGTGCCAGAGCATAGAGCAATGCAGTGATCTGGTGCTGAAGATTCTTGACAAATTCAGTGAAGAGGGGGGATGAGGGATAAAGAGGAAGATGTAACACCTTGAATCTTATTGATGTTGCTTGAGTTAAGATGAGATTTGAATCATGTTTTGCATTTGTTGCATAGGTTTTCCTTTTGTAAAATGGCTCACAGTATTATTACCTATTCTGTTTTACTGTCCAGGATGTAGGGGTGTGTGCTGCTGTGAATGATCCAGGGTGTCTGACACCCTGTGATTTCACCAGATCCCAAGTCAAACCCTTCTCTCCCCCACACAGAGGGGCATCACCCTGGGAAGTATAGAAAGGACTGGGGTCAGGATGTGAAGCCACAAGGGTGAGGGATGCTGGAGGTCTGAGAACAAGGAAGGGTGTGAGGTGTGTGAGGGAACAGGGCAGAGGGGTTGGGTTCATGCCCAGAGCAGTGAGGGTCCTAAGGGGGTGAGCAGCTACTGACCTGCCTGAGGTGAAGGAGGAGGATCCTCTGAATGGCTGAGGAGAGAATGTGAGATCACAGGTATTTGCTCAAGACCCCCAGAGTCTAGAAGTTTGGGGACTTCCTCAAGGTGAAAGCAGAGTAGAAAACGGGTGTGGTGAGGGAAATGGGTTGTGGTTTCTGAATTCAGCTCTCCACACATTCCCGGCTACATGAAAACATTAAACTCTCACTTTCATTTGTTTAAACTGTCATAGTGAGTAAGTCACCCAGGAAAAAAATTTTATTTAAAATAAAAACAAATTGTATGTGTCTTAAGAAAAAATTCTAACAAATTATATGACACAGATATAGCAAAAGTCAAAATCTTAAGATTACAATGCTCCATATAGAACTCAAGAAATATGTTAGTCTTCACCCACATGAAGTTTTCCAAACCCTTTCACGAAATCATTTCTAATCTGTAAACAATATTAAATACATTATGTATCTTCAAATTGTTGCTGAATTACCCACTTTTCAATATGCCATTGATGTCATTTCTAGGAATTTCCACTCCACATTTCCCTGAGCTTTCTCTAAAGCCCTTCAAAGCTCAACTGGTCCATCCTCAATAGCACAGAATTTAATGCTCTTCTGGATCATTTAGCTTTTAGTATAATGTTCTCAAAATAGTTCTGTGAGTAACTCTTTGCACCTCATTGACAGTATTCAAATACGATGTATGGGAATCACAGTCCTAGGAATCAGAGCATGCAACTGTGAATAGAGACAGTCTCTCCTGAGCTGCAGACACCCATTGGGCTCTCAGAACTTCAGGGCAATGTGAGTGAGCAGAGACCAGAATGGGGCGCTGTGGGACTGTCCAGTGTTCTACACACACCAGGCAGTGAGTTCAGTCACATCAAGGAGCTTGGCTTAGGTCTACACCCTGTGCTCCCAGGTGGGAACAAAGCGCTGTGTTCTTTCTCATCTGGCACAACTGCTGAGCAGGGACATGTGTGTGGTGGCAGCAGGTGCTTCCTCCCAGGGTTTTCCCAGGGGTGAAGAAACCCAGCTCTTCCTTAGTGGGTGTGAGCTGAGCTCCTGCACCAAGGCTCAGGGAGGGGCTGGGCAGTGACAGCTTGAAACATATTTGCATGCACAGCCCCTCCTATGGCAGAGGGTGGAGGAGAAAAGGAGGCCTGGGGCAGCCCAGCCCCATGTGGGCTCAGGGAAGTGTGAGCACCATGGCCTGGACCCCTCTCCTGCTTGTTCTCCTCTCTCACTGCACAGGTAACTGGATATGGGGCTGGGAAGTGCCCTGGGAAGATGCATGGGCCCCAGATAAGTCCTCTTGTGTTTAGACCCAGCATCACCATCTCTGTGTCTCTCCCTCTTCCAGGATCCTGGGCCCAGTCTGTGCTGACCCAGCCACAGTCAGTCTCTGGGAACCTGGGCCAGAGGGTCACCATCTCCTGCACTGGAAGCAGCTCCAACATTGGGAGTTATGGTGTGGGCTGGTACCAACAGCTCCCAGGAAGCGCCCCCAAAACCCTGATATCTGGTAATGACAAACGGCCCTCAGGGGTCCCTGATCGATTTTCGGGCTCCAGGTCTGGCAGCACAGCCACCCTGACCATCGCTGGTCTCCAGCCTGAGGACGAGGCTATTTATTTCTGCATAAGTTGGGACAGCAGTCTGAGTGGTCCCACAGTGCTCCAGGCCTGTGGGGAAGTGAGACAAAAACCCTTTTTCTCTTTAGCCAAGAGCGGGCACCCCTGGCAGCTGCTGCTGAGGCTCAGCCTGGGGCTCTGCTTCTTCTCTGCTGCTGTCTTGGCCCAGGCTCCTCCAGGGCTCTCCCTGAGGGGAGGCCCATCCCTCCCTCTGTCCTCAGAGTCACTTCCAGCAGCACATCCCTAGGTGAGGGGTCTTCAAGAAAAGAGAATTTCCTTTGCCTCAGGAATAGTTTACTTCTAAGGTAGTTTGAATTCATTTATTTTGTTTGAGTTTTCAAGAGGAGATATAAACCTTGACTGTGAACCTGTCAAGGGGCCTCAGCACTGACTTGGCTGCTTTGGAAGGATCGGCCAACAGTTTGCACCAGATTTTATTTTTTGCTTAATTGAAAGAAAGGACTGGTTTTGTGTGATTTCCATCTCTGAGTTGGTCATATAGGAAATAATAACAAATAAAATTATTAAAAATTTAAAAAACTTTTCTCCTGAGATAAACATTTTTGTGAATATTCAAATTACCAAATTCACAACAAGCAAAAATGAAAACAACCAAAACTCTTCACCTGGATGTTTGTAACAGCTTTATGCATCCCAACACCCCACCCTCCACCCCAGGAAAAGCACAGGTGTCTCTGTAGGTTGTACATTTAGGGCAAATTGAGAGGAATGAACTATCAGTCACAAGCATGGATGTTAATTTCAAATGGGTATTTCTTACAAAAGAATCATGTCTATAACATTACATAGAGCAGTTTGTTATTCTATCACAACCTGTAAAAGGCACACTCTAGTGATGGGGAAAGATGAGAGACTGACAGGCGTGGGATGAGGGGCAGGGGTGAGTAGGTGAAGCACAGCCATGTTGGCTTGAATGCCAGAGAGAGGAATCCAGTGAGTGCTTTCCATAAGTCGAAGGTCATCCGCTGTGGCGTTGCCAGCACTTGTGGGAAACTGTCATCATAAGAGAAGCTTAATGTGCAGATTCAACCAATGCATCAAGTCAGGGGCCAGGATGGAGCGAGAATGTGACCGGCCTCCTGCCTGCTGGGTGGACCATGAACCCACCTCTCTAAGTGTGAGGAGGAAGCTGCTGACTTGGCAAATTGGAATCCTGGAGTCTGTGAAGAGGAGGGAGGAGCGTGTCCTGGAGCTCCTGCGCTCATGGATGAGGCTGTCCCTGGGGCCTGGTCTGAGATTGGATGTTTCTGGGCTGCGCAAGGCAGTTTAGTGATGAAGCAAATGGCTGTGAGTGGAAGAGTCAGAGCTCTCTCTCTAGGACTGGAAGGTCACTGAACACACGAGGAAGAGCTGGACTAGCCCGGGGAGCCCTGATGTGGAGTGTGGAGCGTCAGCGTAAGGCCATGTTTAGCTTCATGAGACAGATGGTTCAGGAATATTTACAGATATGTACACACATCTGGATAGGATGGTTACATAGATATTAATTCTATTTCAATTAAACTATAAATTTTAACAGGTATGTTTGAAAATATGCTACTGTTACCACATTACACAGTGAAATATTTTTTAAAATGTTTATGTTATCGAAGTCCGAATCAGTGATTTAATATATACTGTCTGTGCTGTCAGATGAGAGAGAAATAATGCCTGTTGTCTCGATATTGGTTTCTAAAACTCTCTCCAACATAAGAGGAGAAATTCTTTGGGAGATGGTGAATCTCAGAAGAAGCAAGAATCACACATGATGAAGATGTTGCAGCCTGGTATTCCGTAGAATAAAGAACCATGCAAACAAACACAGCTCACACATGTGCACACCTGTTAACTAAGATTTGTCAGGAGCACATGAACCAGTGTGCAGGGCTGCCAGGGGCAAAACTAAACTGTTTGTGCAAACACACACTGGAGCAGTGTTGGGTTATAACGCAAAGTATAGGACATATTCATGATGCATCCCGCTAAAATGGTGGAATCAATGACTAATGGGAGGTGGGGGAGGAAGAGACAAACTTTTCAAGAAGAGCAGTGTCCAACAATAAGTGTAAAGAGGTGACACTGATGGGTGTGATCAAACAGAACCCCACACACAGAATGTGGACACATGTCAGAACAGGGAACTCTGACGCCGTCACAGTCAGAAGCCCAATGGAGCTTGGTGACACGTTGTAGGCAGGGAACCTGGCTGAGGCCTTAGAGCAGAATGTCCTATTCAGCAAAGAGTAAGGAAATCTTAATACAGTGTGGCAATGGTTAGGCATTGTGCTCTGTTCCCAACAGTTCTTGTTATGAATCCCCTCCCCGCAAAAAAAAATCTTTCCATAAGAAGTGATCTTAACTGAAAAACGGACGCTGACATACACTTAGTGAAGATGAGGTCTGTAGTGGGGTTCCCTGGTGCAGTGGGACTGGAGTCCTTTGAAAGGGACCCTTGAGCAGAAACTCACACACAAGGAGACTCCAGGTGAGATTGGAGTCCTGCTGCCTCAGGTGAAAGAACTCCTGGTAGCCAGGCCAGAGGTCAGGACTAGATCCCTCTGGGCCGCCATGGGGACAAGCAGGTGCAGGCAGAGTGCAGGGCAGTGAGCTGTGCCAGGTACCCAGGTAGGAGAGGGGCAGTGGGGAGGCCAGGGAGGCTGCTGCCATGTGGGGAGGGGGTTGTGAGCCCCCAGATCTTGATGGAGGGGTGACTGGCCACAGCCTCACTCAGGTGTTACTGTCCTGGGCGAGATACAAGTGGACAGGAAATCATGGGGTCCTGAGACCCCTTAGAATGGCCCTCACAGAGGAGGGAGTCACCTGAACACCAGGAAAAGGTGACTTGGGGGCCTGAGGTCACGGAGCCTGAAGTACCTCCCAAAGAGGGGTGAGGACAGGGGATGTGTCACCTGCAGGAAACAGATACTTCATGGGGTGTGTCTTGAAGTCTCTGTTCCCCAGTTTTATGGGCACAATTACAGACACCATGGCCTGGCAGGACAATCAATGGAGACCCCAGGACCACAGGAGAGAGGTGGGTCCCATGCACAGGATCAGCCTGGAACAGCTGAACTTCAGGTGGCTGAATAATGTGTCAGAAAGTAACATCGGTCATGGATTTCATGTCATAACTTACAAATTATAAGTATAAATTACAGGTTCACCATCTAGAGAACATCAGGAAGGTGGTATTAAATGAAAACTGAGTCAAGTAACACTATGGCAGGGGCAAGAGGGAAGAGTTAGTGGAAATTGTGTAATATCCTCTTAGGTGCTTATGTCCTCAGAAATTTCATGAAAACTTTCCCAAGTAGAGAGCCAGTCACTATTCAGGCCTGAGAAAATCACAAAAATGTGGTAGATTAGAAACATGAGGTAACTGAACCCTTCAACCTGAATATTTTGTGAAAATATTGTAGGGCATCTAAGTTTTAATACACAACCTGGCCTTGGAAAGTGGCATTTAATCTCTAGGTACGCGGTATTTCACTCCTAGTCCGTGTCCTCTGCTGGCATCTTCCAATAAACCTGAATGTCCCCGACCAGGATCTCTTGCCCAGATTCTAGAGCTTTCCATATAACTCACTCTCTCCGGCACAACACTGAAGCAGCACACACAGGTTAGAATCTCCCAGTTCATGGAGTCCAGGTCCATGGGCCACACTGTCACCCCTGCCGGGTGTCCAGACCCTGCTGCCCACTTCCCTCAGCATCCTTGGGTGACAGCATCTCCTCTCAGCCCTGCTCTGGAAGCACCAGCATCTGACATTCTGTGTCCTCCTCTGTTAGGATCTGTTCACTAGCAGCACAGGAGCAGCCCAGGTCTGGGAGCCTCGATCAACTCTGCCATATATCCAGGTATCTTGTCCTCAGCAGCACAGTGGTCCCCCACACTCTCTGCATCAGTCTGCCCACTAGTCAACCTATCTAACATTTATGCAAAGCCAGTGAGGCATGCCAAGCCCATATGCCCTCTCTTCCTCCCCATTGAGGAGAACTCTCAGGACTTGGATACACATAAGTCTAGAAAACAAATGAGGTGATGTTTGATTGAATGAAAGAAGGATGGTCTCCTGCAGATCAGCAGGCAGTGCCATGAGCTTTTCCCTGGGAGTTACTGCAGGACAAGATCTTTCAGCTGGGTGCCACCCACTACTCCCTGGAGGACCCAGGATTGGGCCCTTGGATTCTTTTTTTTTTTTTAATATTTTATTTTATTTATACAAGAGCTGGGGTATAGGCTAGATGCGCAGGAGGGTGAGAGAATTCACCAGAGACATAGCGGGGAACAGAACAGGTAGACTGACGAAATACACTGCTGAGGGGAGCAGCCAGTGAGACAGAAGTCTGCTCACCAAGTGGATTGCCCTGAGGCTGGCAGGGATCCAACTGGCACTGCAGAGACTGCAGACAGCTTCACAGCGCTGCACTCAACTGCCTGCACCACCAGGGAGGCTCACCCTTGGTTTCTTCTGGAGACTCAGCGGCCTGCTCTGTCTAGTCCAGGCCAAGTCCTTTGCCAAGAGTCTGTATGTGGCAGCTGCTTCCTCCCAGTCCACCCACAGGGGAATCTACTCAGCAAACCTCCTCCCTTTCCAAGGGACCCATGTGCTGCAAATGCAGTGGTTAGAGGAAGTGAGTGGGACATATTTGCATGGACAGCCCCTCCCCTGTGAGGCCAGAGGGGAGAAGATGAAAGAAGCCTGGGGACCCCAGCTCCAGCTCTGTAGGGACCAAAGTGCTGTGAGTACCATGGCCTGGTTCCTTCTCCTCCTGCTCCTCTGTCACTGCACAGGTAGAGACAAGACTCAAGAGACCCAGACTTTCCCTATCCTGAAGCATTACCACTGGCCCCACACCCATCTAGGACTGATCTTCTCTTGCATGTGTCTGTGTCTGCAGGTTCCCTCTCCCTGCCTGTGCTGACTCAGCCGCCCTCCCTCTCTGTGTCTCCTGGAGCCACAGCCAGACTCACCTGCACCCTGAGCAGCGGATTCAGTGTTGGCAGCTATACCATACACTGGTACTAGTAGAAGGTACAGAGCCCTCCCCAGTTCCTCCTGTACTACTACCCAGACTCAAGTAAACACCAGGGCCCCGGGGTCCCCAGTTGCTTCTCTGGAGCCAACGACTCCTCTGCCAATGCAGGGATCCCGGTCATCTCCAGGTTGCAACCTGAGGACGAGGCTGACTACTACTGCAGAATATATCATGGAAACACAGACTCTTCACAGCGCTCCAGACCAAGGGGAAATAAGGCAAAAACCTCCCCACTGCTCTGCTCTGCTCACAACGGGAGCCTGGGAGGACCTTCCACACCCACATGGGTGGGCTCTCACCCTGCACAGACAGAGCCTCATACACATTCCTCAGCCCTGGGAGACCCTCACTTTCTGGGTGCCCAGGGAGAGGCCTCCCTCCCACCTTTGAACAGGTAAACAGATCATTATCTAGGAAGATGTGCAAATTATAATTAAATGTAGAGATGTTCAACAGTGTAAGGTACTTTGAAAATGCACCTGTAAATCATGAAAAAACACTAGTCTCTGGGGCTTCCCCGGTGGCGCAGCAGGTTAAGCGCCATGCTGTGAAGCTGTCCACAGCCTCTGCAGTGCCAGTTCGATTCCCGGCTGGCCAGGGAGATTCCTACATGGTGTGGCAGACCTCTTCTGCCTTGCCCACTGCTCCCCTCAGCAGTGTCCTTGGACCATCTGCCTGTTCTGCTCCCCGCTCTGTCTTTGGTGAATTCTCCCACCCTCACATGCCTCTGATTGTACCCCAGTTCTTGTATAAATGAATATAAATCTTAAAAAAAAAAAGAAAATCTTAAAAAAAAAAAAAACTAAACTAAAAAAACACTAGTCTCCTGTTAGAGTGGCTCAGACTCAACACAATTATATCATTACAACCTGTCCAGGTGTGGGCAGCAGAGACTGTCACTCATTGCTAGTGGGAAGGTAAATGTCACATTCACTTTTGAATCACTGTGGCTACTAAAGTCCCATGTGAAGCAATCCAGAAATCAAACCCTATAGGTAGTTCCTAAATCACTGACTTGTGACACACAGAGTATGCAAATAATTTTTTTTTACTGATGAACTGAATTCTTTTTTTTGGTGAAATGATGTTTCTTAACTTTATTTTTTTATTATTTTATACATTTTTACATCATTTTTCATATTTGCACATAATTTATTTCTGATTTATTCAACTGTGAGCATGTGAAGCAACCAGTAAGTCTTTTTTTCCCATTTAGTTTAAATTTTATTTTTTTATATTACCCATACAATTACAACCCCCTTATTTTGACCCCAAACCCTCCTGTCCCCGCCCCCCACCCCCATAGAGTGTCTCTGGTTCATAATTGTTTGTTGATTTTGATATTTTGTTTCTTATAGTTATTCTTTTTCCTGGTCCCTTATTTAAGTTTTCTAGATTCCTGCTATGAATGAGACCATCCAGTATTTTTCTTTTTCTTTCTGGCTTATTTTGCTGAGCATGATTCTTTCCAGCTCCATCCATGTTGCTGCAAATTGCATGTGTTTATCATTTTTGAATGCTGAGTAATATTCCATGGTGTATATGTACCACATCTTCTTGATCCAGTCATCTATTTTTGGGCATTTGGGCTGTTTCCAAAGCTTAGCTATTGTAAACAGTGCTGCCATAAACATAGGGGTGCAGGTGCTCTTTGGAGTTGCTATTTCTGTGTCCTTTAGGTAAATACCTAGGAGTGGAATTGCTGGATCATATGGAAGTTCTATGTTTAGTAGGTCAAGAAATCTCTACACAGCTCTCCATAGTGGTTGGACCAGTTTGCACTCCCACCAACAGTGAAGGAGAGTTCTTTTTTCTCCACAACCTCACCAACATTTGTTGTTGCTAGTTTTTTTAATATGTACCATTCTCACTGGTGTAAGATGGTATCTCATGGTAATTTTGATTTGCATTTCCCTGATTACAAGTGATGTTGAACATTTTTTCATATGCCTGTTGGCCATTTGCATTTCCTCTTCAGAGAAGTTTCTTTTTAGCTCTTCTGCCCATTTTTTGACTGGATTATTTTCTTTGTTTTTGTTGAGTCTCATCAGCTCTTTGTAGATTTTTGTGATCAGTCCTTTATCATTAGTGTTGTGTGCAAAAATGTTCTCCCAGTCGGTGGGGTTTCTCTTTGTTTTTGTCATTGTCTCTATTGCTGTGCAGAAGCTCTGAAATTTGATGTAGTACCAGCTGTTTATCTTTGCCTTCACTATCACTGCTTTGGGTGATGTGTCTGTAAAGATGTCTTTGATGTGCATATCATGTAGTGTTTCACCTATATTTCCTTATATGTATTTTATGGTTTCAGGTCTTATGTCTAGTTCTTTAATCCATTTTGAGTTGGTTTTTGTGCATGGTGTGAGGTAGTGGTCAAGCTTCATTCTTTTGCATGTAGCAACCCAGTTTTCCCAGCACCATTTATTGAACAAACTTTCTCTGCTCCAATGCATAGGTTTTGCTCCTTTGTCAAAGATTAGTTGACCATAAATCTGAGGATTTATTTCTGGATTTTCTATTCAGTTCCATTGATCTGTGTGTCTGTTCTTGTCCCAATACCATGCAGTTTTGATGATTATGGCTTTGTAGTATAGTTTGAAATCTGGGAATGTGATGCCTCCATTCCCTTCTTCTTTTTTCAGGAGAGCTTTGGCCAATTCATATGGTGATTCCATATGAATTTCATCAATAATTGTTCTATTTATTTGAAGAATGACATTGAAATTTTTACTGGAATAGTATTGAATCTGTATATTGCTTTTGGTAAGATGGCCATTTTAATAATGTTTATTCTTCCAATTCATGAGCAGGGAATGTCTTTCCATTTCTTTGTGTCTTCTTCTATTTCTTTTAACAGTGTTTTTTAGTTTTCTTTGTATAGGTCCTTTACCTCTTTTGTTAGATTTATTCCCAAGTATTTGATTTTTTTGATTCGATAATAAAAGGGATTTTTTTTTATTTCTTCTTCTTCAGATTTATTGTTTTTGTATTGCCATTGAGAATGATACTGGCTGTTGGCTTGTCATATATGGCCTTTATGATGTTGAGGTATGTTCCTTGTATCCCAAGAATTTCAAGGGCTTTTATCATGAATGGGTGTTGCACTTTGTCGAAAGCTTTCTCGGCATCTACTGATATTATCATATGGTTTTTATATTTCTTTTTTTGATGTGTTGGATAACGTTGATTGATTTTCGGATGTTGAACCATCCTTATGTCCCTGGAATGAATCCTACTTGGTCATGGTGAATTATCTTATGGATACATTGTTGGATTCTGATAGCTAAAATTTTATTGAGAATTTTAGCATCAGTGTTCATTAGCGAGATTGGCCTGTAGTTTTCTTTTTTTTTTTTGTGTTGTCCTTGTTCGGTTTTGGTATTAGTGTAGTGTTGGCTTTATAGAATGTGTTTGGTATTATCCCTTCCTTCTCAATTTTTTGGAAGAGTTTGTGAAGGACAGGCACTAATTCATCTCCGAATGTTTGGTAGAATTCATTTGTAAATACATCAGGTCCTGAACTTTTGTTTTTGGGGAGGTTTTTGATTACCATTTCAATTTCGCTGCTTGTAATTGGTCTCTTTAGGTGTTCTATTTCTTCTTTATCTAGCTTTGGGTGATTGTAGAGTTGTAGGAATTTGTTCATCTCCTCTAGATTGTTGAACTTGTTTCCATATAACTGTTTATAGTAGTTTCTGATTATTCTTTTGATTTCTGCTGTGTCCGTTGTGATTTCTCCTCTTTCATTTGTGATCCTTTTTATTTGTGCTTTCTCCCTTTTTTTCCTTTGTGAGCCTGGCTAGGGGTTTGTCCATTTTATTTATTTTTTCAAAGAACCAGCTCTTGGTTTCATTGATCTTTTGGATTGTTTTTTTAGTTTTGATTTCATTTATTTTTGCTCTGGTTTTTATTATTTCTTTTCTTCTCCTGGTTTTGGTTTTTTTGTTGTTGTTCTTTTTCTAGTTCTTTGAGCTTCAAGATTAGGTTGTTTCTTTAAGTTCTTTCTTGTTTTTTCATGTGAGCCTCTATTGCTATATATTTTCCTCTTATTACTGCTTTTGCTGCATCCCATACATTTAGGAAATTGGTGTTCTCCTTGTCATTCAACTCAAAGAATTTTTTAATTTCTTCTTTGATCTCCTCATTAGTCCAGTGGTCTTACGGTAGTGTGGGTTTCAATCTCCATGAGGTAGGAAAGTTCCTTGCCTTCTTTTTATGGTTTACTTCTAGTTTGATGCCTTCATGGTCAGAAAAGATGGTTAGTATGATTTCAATCTTGGTGTATCTGTTGATGTTTGTCTTGTGTCCCAGTATGTGATCGATCCTGGAGAATGATCCATGTACGCTTGAGAAAAATGTGTACTCAGATTTTTTTGGGTTTAGTGTTCTATAGATGTCTGTTAAGCCCAAGCACTCTAGATCCTTATTTAGAGCTTTAGTGTCTTTACTTATTTTTTGTCTCATTGATCTATCCATTGTTGATAGTGGTGTGTTGAAGTCTCCTACTACGTATCTGTTTTCTCTGATGTCTCTTTTCAAAGATGACAATAGTTATCTGATATATTTTGGTGCTCCTTTGTTTGGTTAATGAGTGTTATTTCTTCTTGAAATATTGTCCCCTTGATCATCATGTGGTGATTACTGGGGTCTCTTTTTACCTTTTGAGTTTGAAATCTGTTTTATCTGATATAAGTATAGCTGTTTCTGCTTTCTTTTTTGGTCCATTAGCTTGTAGGATTGTTTTCCATCCTTTAACTTTGAGTCTATTTTTATCTTTTGTAGCTAAATGTGTTTCCTGAAGACAGCAAAAGGTTGGGTTTTGTTTCTTAATCCAGGCCTGCGACTCTGTCTTTTTATTGAAGAGTTTAGTCCATTTACATTTAGAGTTAATATTGATATGTTAGCATCTGTATTTGCCATTGTGTTTGTCTTTCCTTTGATTTTATTTATTTATTCTTTTAAGAACTTTTTTTTTTTTTTGGACTTCTTCTGTTGTTATTCGTCCCTCTGAGGTTCTGGCTTTAGGACACCTTAGAGTATTTTTTGGAGTGGTGGTTTAGTCGTCATGAAATTCCAGAGTTTCTGTTTGTCTGGGAAAGTCCTTATTCTTTCTTCATAGAGGAAGGAAAGCTTTGCAAGATAGAGTATTCTTGGTTGGCATCTGTTGTCTTGAAGTCTGTTGACTATGTCCCTCCACTCTCTCCTTGCCCGTAGTGTTTCTTCAGAGAAGTCTGATGTCAGTCTGATTGGTTTTCCTTTGTATGTAATCTGTCTCTTCTCTCTTGTCAGCTTCATTATTTTTTCCTTGTCTTTGATTCTTGGGAGCTTTATTATTATGTGTCTTGCTGTATTTTTCTTTTCATCATGGAAGTTTGGTGTTCTTCTTGCTTCTTGTATATCAATTTTCAGCTTCTTCTTCACATTTGGGAAGTTCTCTTCAATTATCTC